GAGACCAGAGCAACCAGAGAAGCCAGAATCTGGAGTCCAGCACGCTTCGCAGTGATGTGACTGGAAACGTGTGGGTTCTGGCATGTCACACGGCAGCCACCTTCCCCATCTCTCAGTCTCATGGCAGGCAGCTGAAAGACGGCCTGGTACCACTCTCCAGTGCCAGGTAGGACAATAAGGACTCTGTTCTCTAAAAAGTAAGGTCGTACATCTAATCTGCCTGGAAGTTCACTGAAGGTTCGGCACCTGAGGCCCTTTGGGATGAAGTAGCTTCCCAGGCAGCACCAAAGAATTTAGAAAGCCCATAACATCTTCTATTGGATCAAGGCATTAAAGGAAATCTTTGTCAGGCTATTAGGTCTTTGTAATAATCTGGAAAGGTTACTAAGCAAAGGGACAACTATAGCCCCTCCCTGCCCCACAAAAAACAAGGTTTCCAGAGTCAGCACACTGCAAAGTTCAAAATGTCCAGTTCTCTTGGGTGGCAACTGTGGCTCAAAGGGGTAGGGCACTGGCCCCATATGCCGGAGGTGGTGGGTTCAAACCCAGCCCTGGCCTAAAAAACAGAAAAAAAAAAAAAAGTCCAGATCTTAACAAAACATTACAAAGCATACAAAGAGACAGGAAAGTATGGCCCTTTCACAGTAGAAAAAGAAACTGCCAGAAACTCACAAATATTGTCAGAATCAATTTTTTCAGAACTCTGAAAATTAATCAAACGCTAGCAAACTAAGGAGCATTTATTCAAGAAAGACAGCTAAATCTTGGTGAGAGCAGCAAGCGTTATAGTGTCTTAACTTCCCCTAGTATCATGCCCACGCTCCCAGCTCAGCAGCAACCTTGAAATATAACAGCCTGTGCTTCCAGGACTTGAGGAAGAAAAATGGGCTGAACCTTTGCAAAGCTTCATTTCCAAAGAACAGTTAATAATTCACAGAGAGATCTCTTGTCTGGTGGTCCCCTAAAAAACCCCATCTTCATTTCACCTGATTCAAACCTGCCCAGGGCTAACAGTTGATCTCTGAGAGATTTTTGCTGATAATGTGTACAGGACAATTTTTCTGTTGTTGTTCTCACTATGTCACCCTGGGCTAGAGTGCTGTGGCATCATCATAGCTCACAGCAACCTCAAGTGATCCTCCTGCCTCAGCCTCTGAATTAGCTGGGACTATATGAGCCTACCACAACACCTGGCTAATTGTTT